GACAATTTTTATTTTTAGGCAAACAATATTCATTTAAAAAAAAAGTTTTGCTTCGATAAACATCATTTTTTCCCTCCTAGAATCACAAGACACCTCATAAATACAACTGACAGGATGTCAGTGCTGCACTAACCCATTGCCGCCTCTTTAGTGAGCTGCCCGTGGTATTTAGAGCATTCATTCAACAGCCCCTGTAACTGCTCCACAGTGTGCTGTCCGGGCTGCTCGACGAATGCCTTGGCACAGCGCTTTGTGTGGATGGTAGCGGGACGGATGGTTTCTGTGCGCCCATGTTTAAAGGCTGCGGTGCTACAGGACTCATATGTGGCGACCATCTGGCCGTACTGCCGTAGGAAGCCCATCTGGAAAGCCAACTGTGCGATGGCATCTGGGCTGAGCTTCTTTTTTTTAAGTTGCTCCTTTCCACCTTTCTTGAACTCCATGGCGTCGATGGTGAGCTTTGACACGGCGGCCCGGAAGTTCTCTTTTGCTTTCGTGATTCCAGCTTTTAACTCTTCATTGAGTTTAAACTCTATTCGGCATACTGCAGAGGAAGAGTCCACCGCTGCAGGCTGGGATCCAGGCCCGACCACAGGCTTCTCCGTGGTGTCCTTGAAGACCTCATTCTGGAAGCGGAGAACGGCCACGCCGTCACCCCAAGAGTGCTCAAAATTAATTGCTGCCTGTCCGTCTTTAGCCAATATGATACTGAAGGACTTGTCGTACCAGCGGTTGCAGCCGTCTCCGTGAAGCATGTTGTGGGAAATGTGAATATGGTCTCTCATCACCTCCTCATCCAGGCAGAGGCAAAACAAAGCAGTGTCTACTAAATGCAGAGCTTCGCCATTTCCAGCATCCAGTAGTTTCTGTCGTAACCCTGCCCAGGTGTCTCTATTCTCACTGGTTAGAACGCCCAAGGGGAACGAAGGAGCTTGTGTGGGATCTGATAGGATGTATTTCAAGTGAGCTTGAACCTCAGCAGACTTTATCAGGTTGCCGTCCCGATCCAGCACATCAAACACATACAGGTTGCCTCGCCTTATTATAAGCAGGTGGCGGCCCTTGTCGCCTGTGAGGAGCTCGTCGCGCTTGTACTTGGGTATACGTGTGGAATTAAAGAGGCGGAAATACTGTGACATATCCAGAGGATAGGCATTCACCATGTAGGCTCCAAACCATGAGATGGAGGGGGGCACCCATCGGATCAACCTCTTGAAACTGTCTGTGTCACTCTTGGCAGGGTTAAGGTGAAACACCTCCGGCTCGAGTAGACCGGCACTAAGGGTCTTCATGAACCGGATGGCTGAACACACCATGTTGGTGCCTCGCACAAGCTGGTCGTTGTACTCGGGTTTGGGGTCAGGGTTAAAGGACATGAAGGGGTTAAAGTTGAGTACAACAGACTCCCGAGCAGACAAGTACATGTCAAACCATGGAGCTGCAAGAAACAAAGGATAAATGTATTAATGATGTTACAATTAACACAGTACTCAATTGTTATTATTTGTTACTACATCTCCCACCTGATATATAGCTGGTGTGCTTGTTCTTCTTGTCTAAGGCCACAAGTTCTTCATGTAACTGCTTACCTACACCACTCTGGAAATCCTGTGCTACTTTCTCTGTATTACTGATGGAGATGTCGGCAGAACATTTTTAAAACATTAAAAGTTCATTTGAATATGAAATTAAAAAAATGATTTAGATACTTTTGGCTTACCTGTACTGTTCCTCGTTCAGCAGGGGTCCTTGAGCTGCCAGATACCTCTGTATTGTATCTTCCAATTTTGGGACTGGTAATCTGTAAACAACATGTTAAATTTATATATTTTGGGAAACATATCCATTAAAAGTATACAAATATTATATAATGATTTGCAATGTACACAATTATTAGAATTTTTGATAACGCGTTTCATATAATTTTTATGAATTTTATTGTGAGACATTTTACTTGGTATAATTATTTACTGCTCTTATTTAAATAGTGATTTAACAATATTTTGTGTATGCACACCAAGGTCAGCATATTAAGGCGATTTCTAAAGCATCACGTAAGACTGAAGACTGGAGTTTTGCTTTCACAAGGATAACTGCATTTTAAAATATATCAAAAAATGTAATTGTAATTATATTTCACAATATTACTGTTTTTCTGTATTTCTGACCAAGGCGACTTTTTTCAAAAACATTTACAAACTTTTAGGTAGTAGTATTACAGCCTCACCATCACAAGGCCAAGACAATTAGAGTACATTTTATTTTATTTCTTTGAATGCAACTCTACCTCTACAATTAACCACGGACCAATACTGAGGGAACTAAAATTGAAGCAAGGGGGCATATTTACGTGTAACACCATGTCCCCTTCCCCCTTGCAACCGAAGCGTAGACTTTGCACTTTCACCTACATTGTCTAATATGACCTAAAACTTTCGTAGAATAAAAAATAACAATAAAATAAAAGTTCTATTTCCATCTAAAATCAGATTGAACATTAAAGATTCAATATCAAAGCACAGCAAAATGAATTATATGTCGTGGTTTCTATGTACTTCTCTTACCTTGGTAAGCTCTTCTGGTAGTGCATGGTCGGGACGACACTTCTGTGTAAATACTCAATCCCAGCTCCATCCTTACTGCTGTATTTACGTTGAGTGTTCGTTAGAGCTGACAGAGCAGGGTTATTCCTTAACAGTTTTAACTTGCTCAGTGTTGAATTATATTGCGTAGAGAGCAAACCTGCCATCATACAACTTGTAATTTAAGACGTTATGAATTGCGTATTTTTGTTAAAGCTCAACAGTGAATGCAGTGCGTCTGACAGATCCTGTCGCTGACGGCGCGGCCAACCACAATAATCTTATTTAAATAGTGATTTAACAATATTTTGTGTATGCACACCAAGGTCAGCATATTAAGGCGATTTCTAAAGCATCACGTAAGACTGAAGACTGGAGTTTTGCTTTCACAAGGATAACTGCATTTTAAAATATATCAAAAAATGTAATTGTAATTATATTTCACAATATTACTGTTTTTCTGTATTTCTGACCAAGGCGACTTTTTTCAAAAACATTTACAAACTTTTAGGTAGTAGTATTACAGCCTCACCATCACAAGGCCAAGACAATTAGAGTACATTTTATTTTATTTCTTTGAATGCAACTCTACCTCTACAATTAACCACGGACCAATACTGAGGGAACTAAAATTGAAGCAAGGGGGCATATTTACGTGTAACACCATGTCCCCTTCCCCCTTGCAACCGAAGCGTAGACTTTGCACTTTCACCTACATTGTCTAATAGGACCTAAAACTTTCGTAGAATAAAAAATAACAATAAAATAAAAGTTCTATTTCCATCTAAAATCAGATTGAACATTAAAGATTCAATATCAAAGCACAGCAAAATGAATTATATGTCGTGGTTTCTATGTACTTCTCTTACCTTGGTAAACTCTTCTGGTAGTGCATGGTCGGGACGACACTTCTGTGTAAATACTCAATCCCAGCTCCATCCTTACTGCTGTATTTACGTTGAGTGTTCGTTAGAGCTGACAGAGCAGGGTTATTCCTTAACAGTTTTAACTTGCTCAGTGTTGAATTATATTGCGTAGAGAGCAAACCTGCCATCATACAACTTGTAATTTAAGACGTTATGAATTGCGTATTTTTGTTAAAGCTCAACAGTGAATGCAGTGCGTCTGACAGATCCTGTCGCTGACGGCGCGGCCAACCACAATAACAAACCTGTGCTCTCTTACTGTTCTATTTACAAAAGTAATTGCAACAAACTTAAAAAAGCGATTTTCAAGAATACTTTTTAATAGCTACTTTTAACAAGCAGACAAAATTCCCAGCAAAAAAATTCAGATTTTAATATTTGATTCATTACTTCCGCCTCACCAACTATCAACTTTTTCAAAATAAAAGTCCAATCTATTTAAACAGGCCATTTATATACAAAACACATGTAGGCTGATAAGTTGTGCACCTAATGATTCAATTGCATTTTTCATTATGTGTTAATTAAATTGGAACTCACAAAACAACACAAAATTAAGAGATTTCGCCAGAAATAAATTACAACTTTTATATGTACATTTAATTATATTAATTTATACAAATAATCTTAGTCTTTATATTTCGACTATTTATTACATTTTCATGTTTTGAATCCATTTCAACATGCACCCAAGGCCATCAAAGCGTGAGACCACAAGCTCCGCCTTTTTGTTCTGATCCTTTCATATGATTGGTTCAGCCACAAATGCGCAGGAAGATGATTGGTCATCGAATGTCCCTTTGGGAAGCTGTAATCATGAACGACAGACAGCATCAATGGGAATCATCCATCAGGCGCATAGCCAGCATCATCTGGACCGATTGTGCTGGAAGCGCGACATCATTTTCCATATTTAGATTAGAACCTAGTCGAAAATTATATAGCTTTATTCTAAATTAAAATGTAACTAAGAGAATGTGTACAAAACTTAACATTTTACAGACCCACAGACATATTCTACTGCGGTTCATCGTTGTCTGAGTTGACTGTGGAGGTGAAGCGCTGCTCCTCCTCCTCCTCCTCCTCCGCTGTCGCGCTCTGTAACGAATTGTACATTTTCAGATATTATAATTCTCATTTAGAGGATACAGCACCTGTCATCGATATTACAAATAGCTTACATCTCGGCCGTTCAGACCGTGCATGTATTCTAACAAATATATTAAGAGTACCAACAAGGATGATTTTCTTTTCCTTCCTGACGAGTATAGATTTCTATAATGGAATTCTAAAAGCTGTTGCAATCATCACATATATGTGTCATGGGATTCAGTATTAACCCTGAAATTAATTTTACAAACACTATGTTCTGACCTCATTTCAGCCTTGAGCTTATCTTAACCTTTGAGGCTTGCCCACACATTATTGATTTGCTTATTTAAGGTACAACATCTAATTTACGTTATTTTATTTCTCAGTGTCTAACAGTCAAAGCAATGGGTGCTCTAAGCAAACTGGGATCCGGTTGCTTGCTTCCGACTGTCCAGCACAGTCTGGAACAAGTATGGCAGCTCTTACTCATCTGCCTAGTTTGTAGGCTGTTGTGGAGACTGGGTAAGAGGGGTTATACAACACATAACATGTACTGTAATATTTTAATCCAATAAAGAAATTGTTCTTCTAAAATCAAAATGATTTACTCTCTCTCGTGTCATTCTAAACACTTTCTTTCCTCTGTTACACTCATGAAAGACACATTTTTAAAAGCCCTAAAAAGGACAAAAAAATACTGTAAAAGCCACAAGTCGGTCATGTACAATGTACAAAGTCTTTTGAAGCCATATGATACAGTAGCTTTGTGTGAGGAACATCTTGCTTGACAGCTGCGATCACCATTCACTTTCATCGTGTGATAAAACACTTTGGACATTCTGCTATAAATAACTTATTTTGTGTTGCGTGGAAAGTAGAAAATGAAAGAAAAAAAAACATAACTGTGAGAAAACTGATAGAATTGTCATATTTGTGGGAACTACTAATACTACTACTAAAGTACAATAAAAAAATAGGTATTTAAATTATCTTATGTTACAAATTATGTTGAAGCTGTATTTCCTCTCTCAGGTCTGCCCCCTTTCCTGAAACACCTGAGTACAGTAGCAGGTGGTTTTTATACTCTTTACTTGTTCTTCGAGCTGCACATGGTTTGGGTGGTGCTTCTCAGCCTCCTCTGCTACCTCGTCCTCTTCCTGTGTCGCCATTCAAGCAGCCGTGTACCCTTCCTGTCCATCACTATCCTCATCTACCTCCTTCTGGTGTATATAGATACATCCTCTCTGTTTCTTCATTTTTGTTCAATACAGGATGTACAGTAGTCAATTTGAGTACAATGGGTATACACATACACATACACACACACACACACACACACACATACAGGTGCATCTCAATAAATTAGAATGTCTGTGAAGGGTGTCTATGATTGTCTTCTGGACAACTGTCAGATCAGTCATGATCGGTCTTCCCCATGATTGTGTAGCCTAGTGAACCAAACTGAGAGACCATTTTGAATGCTCAGGAAACCTTTGCAGGTGTTTTGAGTTGATTAGCTGATTGGCATGTCACCATATTCTAATTTGTTGAGATAGTGAATTGCTGGGTTTTTGTTAAATGTGAGCCAAAATCATCACAATTAAAAGAACCAAAGACTTAAACTACTTCAGTCTGTGTGCACTGAATTTATTTAATACACGAGTTTCACAATTTGAGTTGAATTACTGAAATAAATGAACTTTTCCACAACATTCTAATTTATTGAGATGCACCTGTATATATATATATATATATATACAATGTAGATCAAAATTTGAGAACAATCTATAAATACTTGTTTTTTTCACTGTTTTACTAACTTGTTTGACAAAATAACCAAGGCATTTCAACAAAAACATTGTTTTTTTTTATTTTAATTAAAAGAACCAAAGACTTAAACTACTTCAGTCTGTGTGCACTGAATTTATTTAATACAACAATTTGACAATTTGAGTTGAATTACTGAAATAAATGAACTTTTCCACAACATTCTAATTTATTGAGATGCACCTGTATATATATATATATATATATATATATACAATGTAGATCAAAATTTGAGAACAATCTATAAATACTTGTTTTTTTCACTGTTTTACTAAACCAAGGCATTTCAACAAAAACATTGTTTTTTTTTATTTTGTGGAAAACACAGTGATCAAAATTAGAGAACAGTAACCCCTGTAGTACGAAACTGAAACTGACATTTTGTAAGGTTACAGCTGTCAGAAATTAGGAGGAAGTGTAGAGGCCCTTGCTTTGAGTGACTTTAGCACTTTGTTGCCAAGGATTTTCCAGAGATTTTCAATCAGGTTTAGATCAGGACTCTGGGCTGGCTATTTCATTATTTCAATGTTCATAGCTCCAAGGAACTGCTTTACCCATGTTTGACGGGGAGATGAACGCAGGGAAAGCATGTAAGCATGTAAGCATGTAACGATTTTGCGATTGCGACATACATGTTGTTGAGGGGCCCCCCTAGCAAATTCAGTGCACAGCACCCAGAATTCCTAGCGACACCCCTGATTGTAGGTTGTCCCCTAATTTTGATCTCCACAATACAGTATATATATTCATTGGCAGGGTGGTATTCAAGAAACATTTGTTATTGTTAAGAATATTGTAAACAGTTGTGCTTAATAGTTTTGTGGAAATAATGATAGATTTTTTTTCAGTATTCTTTGAAGCATAGAAAGTTTGATAGAATAGAATTGATTTGAAATAACATTTGTTTGTAACATTATATGTCTTTAATAACTATACATCTCCTATTTTTTCAAATTAAGGTATATTTTTGATATTATATTTTTAATAGTACGTAGGACCTGGTGAGTCAGAGATACGGTGTTAAGATTCTGTTCTTTCTGTTTCAGAGAGTTGCACATGATGGATACAACAACCTGGCATAAAATGAGAGGTCAGTCTTTGATTGTTTGTTTTATTACCTGACCTCAGTGTCCATTAGATCATGATTGTATATTTGTTTCTTATACTGAATTGTGAGTAAATTTAAAAATAAATAGTTGTTGTGGCCTCGTAGGTTCCCAGATGGTAGTGGCCATGAAGGCAGTTTCTCTTGCCTTTGACTTGGACAAAGGCATAGTGGAGAAATTTCCCTCTCCAGTTGAGTTTATGGGCTACATTTACTTTGTGGGGACGGTCATCTTTGGGCCTTGGATCAGCTTCAATAGCTACATGGATGCAGTAGAGAGTCGAAAACTTGTGAGTCTCAAATTGGAACTTTCGTTCTAAAACAAATTAGAATTAAAGGGGTTTAAGAGCATTAGGTGCTTCAACCAGCAATATATGTGTATCTATATGATGTATCTATATTACAGTATCTACATGATCTTTTTTCAGAGTGTCTCTTGGTTTTTGAAGTCAGTCTTCAGCTGTGTGAAGAGTCAGCTCTGTCTGGTAATTTCCAACTGTATTGTACCCTATCTCTTTCCATATTTCATCTCGGTCTTTGGAGACAAGCTGCTCCGCAAGTGAGTATAAGTTTGAGTTGAGAAAAATGATGTTGTTTTTCAGTGAGCAATGAGATGTAAAATATTGATTGATTCTTCTACTTCTAATATCAAATGTGTTAATATTAATTGTTGTGTTGCTGTCTGTGACTTCGTTTTTCATTTTTGACTGATCTGTTTTCATATTCTTTCCTCAGCAAGAAGCGAAAGATTAGGTATTGTCCTATTTATATTATTCATACATTTATACATTTTAATCATGTGGAATAAAGACTCATACAAATTCATACAAGCATAAAACATACATCTATATTTTATTCACAGTATATTCAGTGTCACATGATCCTTCAGAAATCATTCAGATATGCTGGTTTGGTATTCAAGGAACATTTGTTATTGTTATCCATGTTGAAAACAGTTGTGCTGCTTATAGTTTTGTGGAAATAATGATAGATTTTTTCCAGTATTTTTTAAAGAATAGAAAGTTTGATAGAACAGAATTAATTTGAAATAGAATTATTTTGTAACATTATAAATGTCTTTATTTAATGTCTATATTTTTAATGTTATAATGTTAATTGTTGTGTTGCTATCTGTGGCTAAGTAAAACATACATCTGCTAAATTTACGTGTAAAAAGAATGAAAACAATGAATCCTAATAGGTTCGAGAATTCTGTATAAATTGACTTTCATTTTTATCTGCTTCTGTCCATTTATAAAATACATTTTGGATTGAGTTTAATAATGTTTTTCGTTTTGTATTTCAATGCAGGGGCTCTGTTAAAAGGTAGGCAATGCACAAGTCTTTAAATAGTTTAGTGCCTATGCGGATCTGTCTCTGATCTGTGATAACCTGCAGCTTTGTGATTCTCCTCATCAGGTGGCTACAGGCCTATGAGAACACCCTGTCCTTCCATTTCAGTAATTACTTTGTGAGTTACCTTGGTGAGATGAGCACCACACTGGCAGGTGCTGGTTTCACTGAGGAGAAGGACAATCTTAAGTGGTTTGTATAAATTGTACAGATTCACATACTGTCAGCATCAGAAATTAAATAAAGGACATATCTAGCAAAAATGCCATTGAACATGACAAACATGCCCTAATTACTTTTGGCTGTCAAACCCAGAATTGATCAATATTTCATGACCGTCTATCATTTCTTTTCTCAATCACTCTTTTTAATGCAATTTCTTTCTTATTTTTCAGGGACTTGACAATAGCAAAGCCGCTAAATGTAGAGTTTCCCAGGTCTATGGTCGAAGTGGTCACTTCCTGGAACCTGCCCATGTCCCGCTGGCTTAACACATGTATGTGTTTTTTAATTAATTAACTAATTTATTTACTTATGTATGTATTTCTTTCTTTATTTTTATTATTTGACTTCTTTGTACTTTACTCAAGTATGCTTTTGTATTGGTTTTAATACACTGTTCTAATGCATATACTTGCTTATTGGTTTTAATACACTCTGAAATAAATTAAATATGTATTTTACCTCCCAAAAGACTTGAATGACATTTTATTTAGAGCAGGCTTTCGTGTCTTTTTTTTAACCTTCAAATAAATGGGTAAGTCACATTTCTCCTTGCTTTTTTTTTAGATTGTTTAGGAAGGCTCTCATTTATGGGAGCTTCACAGCCATTATCTTGACATACACAGCGAGCACCCTGCTACATATGAGTGCATTTTGGCTCAATTCATTTGAACTGATTGCATTCTTTCTCAGGTGTAAGTACAATATTGTATTTCTGTGCCCACAGGGTCTAAGCTTCCACATTGGGGCAGTATTATTTACACTAGGCTTCATAACATATATTAAACATGGTGAGTATCTGTTCAGGTGCATTTGTTTAGACATGAACACATATTATTTCTGAATTCACTTTGTTTTCAGTTATCACAATATCTAATACTTCTTTCAAATGTTTTAATCAGTTAAAAAGCATTATGTTTAGCGGTTCAGCTGACAAACACATCTTTTCAAAGTATTGATCGTCTTTCAGCTTGGATCTCGGTTGTGTGTTTAATGGACTGTGCCTTTATCTGTGTTTTAGTGCTTAGGAAAAGATTGTCGGTCATTTTAAATGCATGTGTCCTCTCCAAGAGATGCCCATCTGACTGCAAACACAGATATAAAAAGGTGTTGTATGTGTCATTATGGCTATAGAACCACTTGTGCTTCTGAATATCTTAAAAATAAAATAAAAAAGGCAAAAAAGGGCCATAAATAAATTAAGCCTTTACTAAAAGATATTTTATTTTGTTTTGCCATTTCAAATCTTACAATGTTTTTTTTTTTACTATTTTATATTAATATTCAAAAGTTAAAAATTCTTTAAAACTGATACAGCTGTCATGTATGTGCGTAGCGCTGTGTTTTTTACAGTAGGGGGCAGCAGCGCGCAAGCATTTGGACAGCGCAACTTTGAGACAGAAACTGAAGCAAAACCCATTACAAGTGGGACAACATGGCGATGTCCTCAAGCATGACACTTTTTTGCCGTTTGACAGGCAGATCTTTAGGGACCGTACTCGGTCACGGCCGCGGAAAAACTCTCACAGCTCGGAGATGGTATATTTGTGCCAGTGCAGGAAACAGTGAGTAAACGCATGCTTTCCACGCACCTCAATGTTGACTCCAGTCAAACCGGGAGGTCAAGAGGAATTGAAATAATATTTCAGGCTATAATTTCACGTCAAATATCTCCTTTTTATTAATTATCATCACCTGATGTTGTACGGAAGCTCAGTAATGTGATATGCAGAACACAAGAGATATCAATTCTGTTGTAGACAGCATGCAATAGGACATATGTTCTCTCACATCAAGAGCGTCAGTGTTTTTCTTTTACCCGTTCTCAAATTACAGTTCTTTGATACCAGAAAAATATCACATACAGCTATTGCTATCACTAATTGTGGCAGGGATGATTAATTAATATGGTATCTCCTTCATTCAATTATAAGCTTTCAGAATATTTCTGTAATTTTTTTAAATAACTTTTACAACAAAAAGTACTACTGTAGCTTAGAGGTGTAATAATTGGGTACTAGGTAACACCATAATCATAAAACTGATCTCCCAGTCCGAGCAGCTGAAGTCCCCAACCCTCCTTATTTATTTATAACAGATTTGCAGTTTAAGCTTGATGAGCGGACAGCCCACAGCAGCCTGGACCTTTTTAAGAAGGACACGGGTGTGATCTATCGAGTGCTTGGTGTGGACCCCACTCTCGTGCAGGACACCCCTCTCCGATTCCGGGACTGGGCTGTGGTTCTCGCTGACACCCACATTGACTCTGGACGACACTACTGGGAGGTCACTGTGAAAAAGTCCCATGAATTCCGGGTGGGTGTGGCCGAGGTGTTGACGTCACGTGATGAATGCGTGGGCACCAATTCCAGTTCCTGGGTGTTCGCGTTTGGCCAGAGGAAATGGTTTGTTATGACCACTGGAAAGCAGGTCCCAGTGCCCTTGGTGGGGAAACCCGATCAGGTCGGGCTCTTGCTGGACTACGAGGCTGGACGGCTCAGTCTGGTGGACATCCAGAAAGCTGAAGTGGTGTACACGATAAAAACACAGTTCCGCTCACCCATCTGTCCTGCGTTTGCACTCTGGGATGGGGAGTTACTCACACACTCTGGACTGGAGATCCCACCAGGGCTTTAGCGACTTTTAATTCACACATGGATGCTACATGCCTCTTAATGGATAGAGAAGGAGATGTAGGGGCCTTATGAAAAGACTAAGGAAGTCAGTGGGAACACAGCTGCTTTTCACTGCCATTAAACCAGATTTGAGCAAGATTTGTCCATTCAGCTGGTGAATACATCCTCACAGTCTACTGTTTGTGATATGTAGATGAACTAATGAATCCATACATGCACAAATGAATACTTGATATGCTTAAAAGTCATTTTGCATCAGTGCCCAAGTACAGTGTTCAGAGAAGTTGTTCAATAAAAAGACATTCTTCACCAGTGATGTTCTTTATTTAGTTTATACATCCATTTTTTTCTTATCTCATTTCATGTAATTTTGTCCACCTTACACTTTTTCACTTTCATATGGAACAAATACACTCTTTTAACTATCTGAATTATTATTTTTTTCCCCAAAACGTCCAGTTTTGTATCCAGCAATAAAGTGAGTCCATGTACCAAGTTTTAAATACATTAATTTCTGGCAAAATACACACCAGATGCTTGCCAAGCAGGTTCAGTTAAAGCTTTTGTGCCCTACATTAAAATAATGTCTTTTAAATTATGTAATACCATAAAAAAATGTCTATTAACAATCTTAAGAAATTCAAACATCTTACAAATATACAAATACTCGCTCATAATGTTTAGCTGAAGATTATTAATAACCTAAATGACATGGAAAGCTTTATGAAGAGTACTGGTTTGCTAACCTCCTTAAGGTAATATGACATGATGACATTTCTAGTATGGTAACTTTATAAATAAACTACTTTTTAATGTGCATGCATGCTTTTCTTGATAGATAGCCTGCTAAATTTACATTAGCTTAGTACTTTGTAAACTAGAGGCAGAGTCACAAAAAATCTTCCTATGAAAGAAGTCAAGAAAGTTCTTAAGATAAATTCCGACAGGTTTAGATGATTTTTGAATAGATTTATATATATATATATATATATATTTATTTCACTTTTTTAAATTTTTGAATAGTTCTCATATTTTCTTAAGAACATCTTCAAGAGCAATATTTCTTAAAATGTCAGTCTTTTATATTTTATAATTGTATACTAGTTTGCTCGTGGCTGCCTTATATAATACAACAATTTCAATGGTATATCTTTTTATTATGGTATATCTTAATATGCATTTATCCATCTATTAACATTTTAGATAGTAAGCCATTCACAATCATTTTTAATAAAAGTAAAGTATTCCAGTAGTAATATGTATTATATGTAATCTTATAACAATTTAAAATAACTGTTTTGTATTTTAATATATTTTAAAATGTAATTTATTCCTGTGACGGCAATTTTCCAAATGCTTATTATTTGAAACAGCCCCAAAAATGAAATAAACATCTCACCTTTAGGGATTTAAGAATTCAAAAAACATTCTCTCAAGAATTTGAATACTTGCATTTTGTCTTAAGAATGCTTAAGAATCTCTTTTCTTAAGTATTTTGGGAATACAGAATACAGTCAGTAACGAAGAAGAAAATAGCAGTTAAGAAGAATTTTAATCTAAAGAAAGTTTTGTGAATCTGGCTCCTAGTTACTAAGGTTACTGGCTAAGTGATAGACGTGAAGGGAAAGGAAGCTTCTGCATTTCTAAATTGGTCCAATCACAAACCAAACTGTCCTTGAGGAGCTATACCAGAAAATACTTGGAAGAACCTGGTAGTTTCATAATCCCACATTAGACTGATGGAGGTCTGAGAGACTACAGTAATGATCATCTTAAACCATCAACAGAAGCTAGCTGAGGTCTACATACAGCAGAGCTTTGGTTTGAAGCACTATCTCTATAACACCTGCGCGCACCTGCTCAGCATGTCCTTACACAGGCTTTGTCATAAATCTCACACCCACATGCTTCCCAGAAGTCATGAGCGACTGAAGTTTGGGATGTTCATGGTAGTTCTTGCTCATACTAAACCCTCCAGAGTCTTCATGCTCTTCAGTTCCTCTGCGTCCATGGTGGAATCGGGACACGTGTCTGCGCTGAGCTCCTCTGGCATTAGTGTGTGTGTGTAAATGCTCTGGTACTCTTGTAGTACCTTGACCACGGCGTTGTGCCCAAACTGCATAGCGTCATCAAGAGGTGTGTTCCCCCATCTGAAGAACAGATGCATTTTAATAAAGGAAACAAAAACAGAAAAAGTGCAACAGAGGGGAGTTCTGCCGTACCTGTCCTTTGCATTGGGGTTGACTTTGCAGGTATGTGTTAAAAACTTGACTGTATCCAAGTGCCCTGAAATCAGAGTTTTAGAGACCTATTAATAAATGACTTGTTAATTCCAAAAGTGGAATTTTGTGAAACATTATAACAATTTAAAATAACACTTTTGTATTTTAATATATTTAAAAATGTATTTTATTCCTGTGATGGCAAAGCTACATTTTCAAAAGCTATTACTCCAGTCCTCAGTGTCACGTGATCCTTCAGAAATCATTCTAATTTTATTTTTATTCTATTTTTGTGGAAACTGGAAATCGTTTTTCAGGATTCTTCAGTGAATAAAAAGGTCAAAAGAACAGCATTTAATTAAAATAGAAAGTTTTGTAACAATATAAATGTCTTTACTCTCACTTTTGATTAATTTAATGCATCCTTGCTAAGTAAAAAAAAGTATTAATCTCTGAACCTAAACATTTAAACAGTAGTGTAATTACACCAATAAACAAAGCAAATGGTCTTATTACCTTCTGCTGAGGCCACATGTAGGGCGGTACGGGAGTCATAGTCAGTCAACTCCATATTAACTGCAGAGAGAGCGATTCTGCGAAACAAATTAATATCTTACTGTTACTCATGACCATTCTCATGAAAATGTTTGCATGTATTTTTATTTGCAATAAAAAGAGAAAATTTTTACCTTCTGAGAGCTGAAACATCACCACTGTACGCAGCAAACATCAGGTCCACCACAGACTTGTTCTGTAATATAAATATAATGATCGATCACAACTCTGAGCTAGCTCATATCTTTTAGCTTTACTTTGTTAGCATTGTGTGAAATTGAAAATGTGGTCTGTGGTCTCACCCTCTCGTGGCCTGTCTGTCTGCGAGGGTCTAACTTCTTCGCAAAGTGTCTCAGGTTGTCATAGTTGTGGAAGTTAAAGAGGGAGACTAGCTCCTAAAGGAGAAACAAATTCAGTTAATGGTCTCGGAGAAAAATGAAGAAATAGAAAGAGAGACAAGCAAAGCTCATGAAAAGGTACCTGGCAGAAGTGAATACCTCGGATGCTATTGCCAACACGGTCAAGAGCTGGAGACCAGCACATAACCCCCATGATATTAGGAACCACGAGCAGCACTGCACCAGACACCCCAGATTTAGCAGGCAAACCCACCTGAGGAAGAGAAACACAAACAACAACAGTGATTTTATTTAAGCAATTAGCTGAGGTTTAAAGCAAATGACTGAAAT